TCCTAGATTCAGCTGTGGTGTTAAATAGCTGTGTGACTCCGGGCAGGTGGTCGCCCTTTCTGGTTCATCCAGCAAATTGAGAATGAGAAAACATGCCCTGCTACATGAGGGAATGATGATAAGGGTCAAATGAAACTTTATTGATATAAAGTACTACTTTTAAAAAATATATTTTTATTGATTTCAGAGAAGAAGGGAGAGGGAGAGAGAGAAACATCAATAATGAGAGAGAATCAACGACTGGCTGCCTCCAGCACACCTCCTTCTGGGAACTGAGCTGCAACCAGGGCATGTGCCCTGATTGGGAATCGAACCGTGACCTCTTGGTTCATAGGTTGACGGTCAACCACTGAGCAACACTCGCTGGGCAATAGAAGGTGAGACCTTCATGTCAATATTCAAGAGAAAAAAAAGCTAAGGATTGAGGGTGTTTAGCTTGGTGAGTGGGAGAAGACGTTCAGTGATCAGGTTGAAGGAGGAACCACAGGCAGGGATGCCGCACCATGTCTTGGAAACTTCATGCAGTGAAGAGATGGAGTCGGGGAGTGGGGGAGTGGGAGATGGTCCATTGAGGTTCCACAGAGGCACGGCGTCCTAGTTGCCATTGGCCATTTCAATTTCGTACCGGCCAGTGCTTTTCCTAAACCCTTCGAAGCTGCCCAGCCACTTTGGTTACCTCATCAATCTGACATTTAATCTCAGTTGAAGTAAATGTGTCTTTTGCTCATCAAATTCTCAAGTTGTTAGAAAATGCAGATAAGCTGACTGGTCTGTCTGCCTGCCTGACCTTTCTGGTATCTCAGCAGTTATTTTATCTCTGTGATTCCTTAGTGTCATCCTGACCCTGTCCTCCTTCCTTGCCTCCGTCCCTCCCTCAACATCATCTCACAGATGCCTTCTCATTTCACAGGCTGGCTGTTGGGAACTCCATTGTCTTAGCAGAGGTTCTTCCTTCTATTTTAAATTGTTTCCGTTGTGCTTGGCTTACTTACAGCACTGATACTTAGTGAACAAATGGAGTGAAGGAAAGATAAGGACACTCCTTCCAGTTTGGCTTCCTTTGCCCTCTGGGGAGAAGCTGTCCCCTTCTCTAGGCAGCTCGGGAGCAGGGAAAGTAGCAGTTTCACAGCCCCCAGGTTGTTGCCAAAATGAGTTTCTAAATGAAATGTTACTTGCTCCAAGCCTGATGACTTCACTCTGTCCTTCCAGGCTCCGTGGGCCACTCAGGGGCACAGGGAGATAGATGGCTTTTGTTTGTCATGCACCATGTTGGCGTCCACAAAGTTTAAAACAACTTAAATTAGTGAGAACTTTAAAGATTGGAAGATTTTTTATGAAACCCAGGATTTTGGTTTCTCTTAGAAAATTGTTCAGTGGCAACACTGGGCACAGGAACTGGGTAGGGCTGCCCCTTAGTCAAGGCAGTGTTTACCGGGTAGCGCAGCTACCACCCAGGCCTTGTCACTCCCTTACATGATAAAGGCAGGTACTTGTGTTTGCTCCCCCCACTCCAGGGTCAAGTTCAGACTCCTTAACAGGTGTACAGGATCCTTCCCAACAAGGTCCCACCCCGCCTCTGCGCCTCACCTCCTGCCCCGTTCCCACCGGCATTCTCACAGTAGTTATGCTACTAAATGGATAGTTGTGTGCCTGTTTGAATTTTTATATATATATATTTTACCTCAAAGACCCATTTCGCAGATCCTTCTGGAGCATCCATTAGCTGCAAAGTCTGTGCCTGGCCTGGCTACCATTGTCGCTGTTTCAAGGGAGTTACCTTTTAGATTTTCATGGTGTGTTGATCCAGAGCTTCTCTGAAGGGCAGGAAGCAGAGGAAGGAAGAGAACAGATGGGGTCCTTTCTGTGCTTATGGTCATGCATTTGCAGACATTTCCTTCCATGAAGTTGAGAACATAGCAGCAAAATGATTGTTTACTTTGGTTAGAATGCCTGTTGTCAAACATTGCCCACTTTCCCAGAATTACAAGAAAATTCGCGTATCAGTTAGTCTCCTTATTTGTACTTCTAGACCAGGGGTGGGCAAACTTTTTGACTCGAAGGCCACAATGGGTTCTTAAACGGGACCGGAGGGCCGGAACAAAAGCATGGATGGAGTGTTTGTGTGAACTAATATAAATTCAAAGTAAACATCATTACATAAAAGGGTACGGTCTTTTTTTTTTTTTTTTTTAGTTTTATTCATTTCAAACGGGCCGTAGTTTGCCCACGGCTGTTCTAGACAATAAAATCAATTTGAACGATGGAGGCGTGACTTTATTGCTGTCCACACTGAGTCCGGGAGCTTGCAGAGGAGTGGTTTTTAGACGCGGAGCATTTGTTTCTCCAGTTTCAAGAAACTGCTGTATAGGCCAGGCTTTATCTTGTTGGGGCCATCACTTGTACCAGGTTCTGTTCTGTGCTGGTACAAAACCTTGATTTCTTCAGGAGGAGTCAGGTTTTAGGAATTTGTCACCATAGCCAAACTCATAGGTCTTTTAGTAAACTAGATGATTCATTTTCTGCACATTTATTAAACACTTATGGAATGTGTGGCCATCCTAACCTCTGGGGAAACAAAAATGAATCATAAATCCCATGTGGTTGGTCCCTGCCATTTAAAGCCTATGGTGCAGAAGTGGGACAGAGAAGTAAACAAATATATTATATATAGTATGCTAAGTATAGGGTGACCTTACATCCTGGGATGCCCTGGTTTATGTCTGTTGTCCTGGTATAACTATTTATGGTGCTTCCTTTCAAAACTACCTAAGGGCCACAGTAAGTCTTTCTGGATGTTTGGGGAATAGAGATGGTAAAAAGGATGGAGAAATCAGCAAGCTTTCCAAGAACCGATGCGCAAGTTCAGGCAGTCAAGGTCAGAGAGCTGAAGGTGGAGGAAGTGAGGAGAACTGTGCAAAACTGCAGGCAAAAGCGAGATTGTTCCGAAGGAAGCAATTAGTTGGTTCAAACTAGTCATTTTTCCCCAAAATTTATCCTGTGAAATTCTCCAGGACACTTGGTGAAAATACAGACTTCCAGTTCCTGCCAGCATTTTGAATGGGTGCTTTTAAAGGAGTGCCCCAGATGATTCTTGGACATAGTAAAGGATCAGAACCAATTCTCTACCAATTATGGCTAGGGATAGAAAAGGCTGGGAGTATAGCGCGGCAGAAGCAGCAAGACTAGAGTAGAGTTCAAGTCACAGAGCAGCCAGGCAGTGACCCAGGTAAGAAAAACCCATGGTAGAACCAGTTGGGAGGCATTTACAGTAGAGCTGTGGAAAACGGCGATGCGGAGAAATGGAAAGATTTGAGAACTATTCAGGAGGAAGAATGAGCAGGACCGAGGCCGTGCCAGTCACTCATTTACATGGGATCCTGTTCTTTCCAGGCAGCAAAACACTTGTGTTAAACACAGGAACCTGGGGAACCTTATAATCGAAAGGTTTATGCGGTGCACCATAAACCTAAAAATACAGTTGGATAGTGTTGTGGCATAGTCATGTGAACCTAAGAAAAGAGGACTCCTGCTTACTTCACATCTCCATAGTCTACAGAACCCTCATGACAGTTGTGTTTATCTCTGGGAAGACGCTGGATGAGTTCTATACCCATCCTGACACCCCCCAACCAAAACCGTGCCCTTCTGTTATGGTGAGGCAACCCGCCACGCCCCATCTTGCATTATTTTTGCTTAAACGATCATGATTCGTCAACAAAGATTTGTTCCTAAGTTCTGGAGCTGCTCTCTCTCTCCGGGGGAACCTGCAGCCACCTCACAGATGCACCATAACCCTGGGAAATGATAATCGGACACGAGCCTGGTGTTTGAGGGAGCACTGGTGAGGAGCCATCCCTACTGAATGGAAAATGAAGCGGTCCTCGGAGAGTTCCGCCTTCAATCATTACGCGAGGGTTTTTATTTTGAAGGCTGCCTTCGCCCGGCCCATTGGCATACTCCGGAGCAGCAAGCGAAGCCAGAAATCAAAGGCTTGGAAGTTATGAAAAGAACGCCTCAAGAGGAGGATGGGAAACCGATCGGGCTACCATTTCACAGGGTAATCCTGCACCCTGTGCCCAAGACCTGGCCACAAAGCGGCCACGAGTGCGGTTTGGGGGAGGGACAAAGCATCTAAGTTTCCAGTCCTTGGCTACGCCTGCAGCACTGCTGGCGGATTATCCAAATCCTGGGGGTGACGGGGTTGAAGGTGAACAGGCTGAAATCTTCCACGCTGTCAGTATCAGGGAGGGAAAACGCCAGCCAACAGCGGCCTCAAAGTTTTTTGTTTGTTTGTTTTTTATAAGGGGCTTAACTTCTGTGCGATCCATCATCAGCAACACCCTGAAGTCACAGTGGCGAGATGAAAATATAAAAATAAAAAGGGAAGGGGGAAAGGTCCGGCGTGCGCGGTCCCAGAAAAATGGATCTTCCCAGTTCCTGACGCTGACGGAGCCCTATGGGTGCCGGGGTCCTCCGCCCGCAGCCCGGAGTCGCAGCCGGGAAGCCCCCGGCCCGCAGTGCGGACGCGACCAGCGTGGCGCCGCGGCGGGGGAGTCCGGCCGGCGCGCTACAGACATCAGAGCGCTGCCGCCGCGGACGCCCCCCCCGCGCAAGTAGTACGGTCCGAGGGGGCGGCTCCTGGGGCGCGGCTCCCGGCAGCCG